ATTGCCCAGTTCAATTTGGTCGCTCCTTGCCCTCCTCATCCTCCTTGCTTGTCTCAGCATAAGTGTGCACTCTTGTTAACCTTTCTCCTCCGCTCCGTGCCTGGACGTTTCCCTCCTCTTCCTTTATAGGGTTGCCTGCTCAAGGTATCCTGACAAACAGTTTCCTGCATTTCCTTTCCTTCTGGCCCCACTGTTTGCACCCCGCCCCCCGTGTATACACATGTGTAACCAGGGCTGGGAGAGAAATCCAGTTCAGTTCATGCTTAAATGCAAGCCAGCTTAATTCACAGCATGCAAAATGAAACACAGGCATCCATTGAAATTCGTACGTCTTTGAATTTTGCAGGTCTCCAGGCAAGTCCCATGTACAGAAATGCATATAGTAGGGGGAAGTCTGCATAAAAACATATGCATTCATTAATATACTCAAAAAAAGCCTTAAATCAGGAGGAAATTTCTTAGCTATGTGGTCAAGAATATGTGCCACCGCTGCTCTTGATCTCTCAGGGTGGAGGATGTCTTCAGACTTTAAACTTTAAAACTGGATGTAAAGTGATGCCAAGACAACTCAGCCCATCTCTTAAGCCAGAGGTTTCAAGTGTACCTACTCAGCCTGCTGCTCAGGTGTTAACTCTCAATGGGCAATTCCAAGGTCCCCACTGCTCTTTATTCCTACGGTTCCTTATTTTTCAACTGAACTTGGATCTGATAACCCTTCTAGCAGAGGACTGTCCTGTGTCAGGTGGGACACATGGCCACCCTGCTTCCACAAGTCTGCACTGCTCTCCTTTCCCAGCAATCTGCACCTCTTAATTGAATTTTGAATAAGAAGTGCTAATGGCTCCATCCATCTTTTCTGCCTTGACAAACTGCCCACAATGGATGAGGGCCAGCGAAGCTAACTGGTCTCCCACCTACTTTTGTCTTATTGTTATATCCCAGTTTGTCAAAAGATTCAAGGTGCCAGGTTAGGGATATAACATGTATGTATAGGAGAGCATCTGGGTGCTCTGGAGCTTGGGAACTCATTCCGTGAACTTGAGCTCATTGGAAGCACCTTGGTCTTTTTTGCTTGTCACTTCAAACAATAGTTATTTTGGCATGACAGGCAAACATCAAGGGAATAAGCAGTAAGTGAAGGTCAGCATCATGAACCAGGGGGTCGGGGGTGGGATAAAAATCTGCATTGGGATCTGTTGCTCTATGGATCCTGCCACCTGAGGCAGTTGCATTGCCTTGCCCTGTGAATGGGCCGGCCCTGAGTTATGCCAGCATTAGGTTAAGCCAGTTTCCAAACCCAGAATCATGGTTTGACTCTCTCAAACAAACCATGAGCGGTAAGCCAAGAACAGCTTGGGGTTGGTTTGGAGAGAGACAAACTACGATCCCAGCTAAACCATGGCTTAGGTTTGCATAGTGCAGCAATGCATCAGGAATGGAGGAAGGTTTTTTCCCTGTGCACCAGCATCTGGTGTGTCCACCTTTATACCGTAGTTAAGACCAGGGATGCAGGTGGTGCTGTGGTCTAAACCACTGAGCCTCTTGGGCTTGCTTATCAGAAGGTTGGCGGTTTGAATCCCTGTGACGGGGCAAGCTCCCATTGGTCTGTCCCAGTTCCTGCCAACTTAGCAGTTCGAAAGCACGCCAGTGCAAATAGATAAAAAGGTACCACTGCGGCGGGAAGGTAAATGGTGTTTCTGTGCACTCTATTTTCCGTCACAGTGTTCTGTTGCGTCAAAAGCAGTTTAGTCATGCTGGCCACATGACCCGGAAAAGCTGTCTGTGGACAAACGCCAGCTCCCTCGGCCTGAAAGCGAGATGAGTGCCGCAACCTCATAGTCCCCTTTGACTGGACTTAACCATCCAGGGGTCCTTTACCTTTTACTTTTTACCATAGTTTAGCGTGATGTTTGAGCTAGTCCTGGTGATTTGGTGGTGCAGGTCAGTGTTGGAGTTTAAACATGCAATATTTCCCGCTTCTGAGCTGTATTTATTTAGCTCTTATATCTTAGTAGGTTTGTGTATACTGTTCTTGGGTGGTTATTTTATATTTGTCCACAGTCTCCTGGACTAGGCAAGCTGCTGCTGCTGCTTTTTTTAAGAGTGTAAAAATGTGTTTTGTTTTGAACCATAGGTGCAACATCCTTCTCTGAGGACTTACCCCCCTGTCACCTGGTGTAAGGTAAGGCAGTACTTTGCAGACCGTACATCTGAGCACATAATTGCTTCCCTTCCAAGCTGCAATAACAGTTTAACAACCAAGAGGAAGAGCTTTTACTGCTGAAGCATTAAATGTTTTTTGCCTAATGATTGAAAATAGTAAAATCCTAGCCTCTGATGGTTAAGGCAGCATTAAAGGGGAATAATAAGGGCTGGCATTTAGACAGGGCCTTTCATCTTAGAGGATCAGTTGTAACCTACATATAGATGGAGGGGCTTTTGCCCATTCATTTAGGGCCAGCGTCTCAGGTGGAGTTTTGTCCCAAGTGCCAAGTCACTAGGGGGCGCAACACAACCATTCAGGGTCACAAACACAAATATCACTCCTTTCTGTAATAGGGGGTAATTTAGTGGCTACCTGCAGAATAGTCCCAGTGGGGCAGCTAGATGGTTTTTCAAGTCTGGACTTAATGGTCTTAGAGGGGGCACTTACCCAGAACTCCACTTCTGCTTCACTTTAAGGACAGGTGTCTGCCCCACTCCACTTGTAGTGTGGGTTTATGGCAAAATTGGTGCACATGTTTTGTAGAATTTGCTACCTGCTTAGATTGTAACTTTGCTGTCCGAGGCAGCATATCACTCCTGTTTCATAAAATATACCAAGCGTTCTTTATTCCTCTGCGTGAGAGCTTCTTGTGGGCATAAGGTTAAGGGTTGACACACAACCATAATGAGCACATGTCATAACTCCAGCAAAAAGATCCTAAAACTTCTTGGCAGTGTGTATACGAACATACAGGAGCGCTGGCTGCACACCTGTGAGTTCAGGTGCACACTGGTAACAATGGAAGATGGCACAACCTTCCCCTAATACTTAAACCAATGGAACGAGAAAGGAGATTCTATTGAACATCAGGAAGAACTTTCTGACAGTACGCGCTGTTCGACAGCAGAATTAGCTCCCTTGGGAGGTTGTAGACTCTCCTTCACTGAAGGTTTTAAAGCAGAGGTTGGATGGCCATCAGCCATGGATGCTCTAGCTGAGATTCCTGCATTGCAGGGGGTTGGACTAGATGACCCTTGGGGTCCCTTCCGACTCTAAGATTCTGTGATTCCTTTTCATTCTGCTGATTGCAGCCCTGGGCCATCTGCCCTAAGCTCTCGCCCTGACAATACCTTTCTCCCCAGTGCTCCAGACACAGAAACCAAACAGTCAGGTCAAGATGAACCTTTTTGGTCCAGGCCTCTGCAGAGTGTACCCTTCTATTTGACCAAAGAGAAAATGAAAAGTGAATGTTAATGTATTGCATTGTTTAATTGAATGGAGCTGTTTGTGACCCACCCTGGGACTGCATGGTGAAGAGGGTCATAAACGCCAATAAATATTTATTTTAGATAGTTTATATTCCCACTCATCCGCAGTAAACACCAAACAAGAGCAATATCATTCAAAGCGCCTTGCAACATTTTAAAAGAATAAAATGCCCTAACCAAGGATGCAACAATATTATATTTTAACCGCTATGTGGGGCACAATTAAACTTTCTGTTGTTGCCTCAGTCAGTGAAATTTGAGCTGGCGCTGGTAAAGAGATCTCTGATTTTTTAAAAAAGAGAAAAGGAAAGCTGGGATCTGAAAATCTGTCCTGTGTGCAGAGACACGGATGTATACATTTAAAGCACATACGAAGCATGCACGCCCCCCCAAGAATCATGGGAATTGCAGTTTCTTCGGGGTGCTGGGAACTCTGTGAGTTGTAAGCTAAGTTCTCATTATTACTTGGAGGAAGTGAGATGAGTTGAATTGTGTGCATCCTAGCCACACTTTAGGGTGCAGGAAGCTGACCTTGAGGGGACAGAACTCCTTTCACGCTCCAAGGCAGATGTACCTGCCACAGCTTCTTCTCATTTTGAAGGATCCTGGATCAAATGCAAGAACTGCTTTTCGCTTTCTCATCGGTCAAATGGAAGGGTATAACTTTGCTCTCAGTTCTGTCTGTAGATTGCTTAATGGAGCTGCGGATTGTTAAGAGCGGCCCACCAAATGTGCCGTGGATGTGATTAGTAGATACCGAGTTTCCTTCCATTGAAATACAGCACAATACATTTTGAATGGTTGGTATGGAGCGGTGATGTGAATGCGCGGGGGAAAAAGCCATTAGCTTTGCATTTTGGCAGAAAAAATGATTTTCTTTTAAAGACGCCTCACCAAGAATTACACATTCTGTAATAATGAAAAGGCTGTTTGCAGGAGCTGTTGCCTTTGCATAATGCGCATATGTATAATACATATGCTTTTCAGTGCATATTTCACAATTCCTCGCAGCATTAATGCTTGCATATTTTAGGGGGCTCAATTCTTTACCAATCTTGTGACTTGAAATAACTTACAGTAATAACATGATTACTGCTTTAATAATTTTGTTACGTTCACCGTAAGAGGATTACTATTTTGGTTTGTGGTGGTTTTTTTTTAATTCGCCGGCAGCTTTGGGGTGGCGCGGGGCTATAGAACACTGTGCATAATAAAGAATAAATATTATTTTTTTGCATTTCATTTTTTAATTTTTTATTTGCAAAGGAGCGTTTGCTGCCCTGGACCTTCCTCTCGTCTGGGTGCTGATGAACTTCAGGGGGAGAACAGGAGCCGCGCTTGTTGTTTTTCCTGGAGTGGGCGGTGCCAAAAAGCGGCGCCGCCCCTTCCCCGGAAAGCCCCTCCTCCCCGCTCTCCCTCCCTCCCTCTCCCGCATGGGAGTTGTAAACAGTTGCCTCCCCCTTCTCTGGGCAGGCCCCGCCCCCTCCCGCCGCGGGCCGGCCCCCCTCGCCGCATCTCATTAGCATAGATTAACGCTGGGGGAGCTCGAGTGCAGGTGCAGAGCCGGCGAGAGGGAGAAAGAGAGAGAGAGAAAGAGACCGGAGGGGAAGCGGCAGGATGCGATCGGCAGGGAGCGGCGGCGGCGGCAGGCACTCGCCTTTGGTGGCCGCGGCTGGGATTTTACTGCTGTGCGTTGCTGGCAGAGGTAAGCGCGGAGGAGACGCGGAGATCGGCGCGCGGGGGGGGGGGCTTAGTCTACCCCCCCTTCTCTCTCTCTTTCTTTCTCTCTCTCTCTCCCTCCAACCCCCCCCCGGCTGCTTCTTTTTCCCACCCCCTCCCGGGCTGCTGTGGGCGATTCTGCTCTGGCATTGCCCGTTTGTCCTCTACGCGTTGGAAGCGCTCCTGCAGCGAGCGAGGAAGGAAAGCGCCGGCTGCGCGCAAAGGAGGAACCGCGGAGAGCGCGGGGCAGCAGGGCGGGGGCGAGGAGAGCAGGAGAGACCCCCGCTGCCTGCGCACGGACCCACCGGGTCATCCCCGGCCCGCTTGGGGGGCTGCCCTCCCGGCGCCGGTCTCTCTTACCCCTCCCTGCAGCCTTCCCGGGCTGCCCCGTGCCGCCACTCCGAGGGGTGAAGCTGGCAGGCAAGGCGGGCAGCTGCCTGGGCTTCTTTCCCCAAAGGGGGGGGGCGCTTCCCGGAGGGACCGCGGCCCTGGCGGAGGGAAGGAGGGAGGGCAACCTCTGCGCACTGTAGGGTTTCAACTCCCCCCCCCCCGCCTTCGCAACCCGCATTGTGTGACCCTAATATTCGCCGCGGCTGCTGCAGCAAAGGGGTGTGTGGATAGGGGGAAACAATGGCATGGTTCCCACCCGCCCCCTTTTTCTTGTCACTGCAGTGGTGGTGGTTGCCGGGCTTTGTTAGAGGGCGCTTTTTGTGTGTGCCCCCCCACTTTATCCTTCGACCTGTGGGCACATCGGGGCACCCCCTTTTCTCCATGCTCTCTCCCTCGTAGTACCTTTCTTCCTCTCCTTTTTTTTTTTTAGCTGGGTGTCGCCTAGGGCAAAGGCTGTGCCCTGGAAGGTTAGGCACCGGTGCCCCGTCAACTTCAAAATTGGATTGCAGGGAGGTGGGGGGGCGAGACCTGCCTATGTCTTTGGGTGGGGTGGGATTCTTGCAGTTCCTTGACCTTTCTCTATCCCCCCCCCACCAACCGTGCAAAATAGTACATTTTCAAGCCCAGTGTCAAGAAAGGTTCCAGTTCCTTACATTGCCATTCTTGTGGCTTCGTTTTCGGCTTTTGCGTGCGTGTATTTACATTTTCGGTTGGTCTAACTTTTTAATCCCCTCCCCACCGGAGATCGCAGTTCTAAAAAAAGGGTATCCAGATAGCTACATCATCTCTTCTCCGCTCCCGCCCGCTTCCCACCTTCCTCCTCTTACTCTCTCCCTCTCATCCTTTCATCCCAGCCTGTGCCTTGAGTTTGTAGAATAGAATATAAAACTGCCTGGCTGTATTCCCGTCCACCTCGGAGCGAATCCACATCCCTCCCTGCTTTTCTTTCATTGATTCATTCTCTCTCTCTCTCTCTCTCTCTCTCTCTGCTGAGAATCAAGATGGGCTGACAGTTGGCCTCGTCTCTATGCAAATCTTTCAAATTTTGTTTTGATGGGGGGGGGGAATTACAGGAACGTGCACAAGTAAAAATGGCGGTCTCCAAACCCCCCACTCCCCAGTTTTCCAAATCCTGGGTATCCTTCAGTTCCCATCTGATGCAGTTAGTGTTGGGGTGGCAGTGGGTGGGTGAGTCGCAGGAAGTGACTGGAAAGAGAACAAAGCCGTTCCGAATAGGATTTAGCCTTACCAAGAGGAAACAAAGAAGAAACAAACTAAGTACCGTTTGGTCCCTTTGACAGACCAGCTAGGCTGAAACTAAAAAGACAGAATCGGAGCAGGCTGGCGTTCCATGGACTCCCGAAGCTCAACTGGCTTCTGGATCCCGTTTTGTGTGTGTGAGGCAGGGAATGAGCTCCTGCCTCTGCCTCCCACCTTGACATGGGCAGAATTCCTTGAGAAGGTCAAAATTCCAAGCCTCCTTTTGCGGCCCACTGAGGAGGGCAGAGTGCTGAACTTTACTTGCCAGCGGCTGGCATCTCCATCAATCAGCCTCTCTTTGGAGAGGTCAGTCTGTGGATGCTCAGGCAAAAGTTCCAGCATGGCTCCCAGCCTGCAGGCCTGTCAGGTGTGCATCTCCCTAGTGGCGTTGTGTGATCCTTCCGTGCAAGCTGTCCACCTCTCCGTCCTTCACTGCTCAAGGATGCAATTATAAGGCAGGCGAGTGAAGGTTTGGGATGATGAATTAAGCGTGGCGTTGTGCACATGGGGCTTTCTTTGTGTGGGCCTGCATGAGTGTAATTTCCATGCCTTTCATCTTTGCTTCTCTGAGCTGGTCTTCCGTACATTTTCCCTATTGGGAAATGCTTCTTCCTCTGCTCCCCCCCCAAAAAAAGACCCCCCTCCTATCAAACTAAATTGGTTTATTTCATCGCCATGTGAAGCCAGGGAGACAGGTTGTAATGATGAAGGACTTGGAATAAATGGGCACCCAGTCATCCTGGCTCAATCACATCACAAAGCACATAATTTTTTAAAAATATATAAACTTCCTGCATTTATAATCCCACTTTTCCTCTAAGGGGCTCAAGGCCGCATGCTTGATTTCCCCTGACTCCATTTTATCTTCACCACAGTCCTGTGAGGTAGGTTTGGGTGAGAGATTGCAACTGTGATGCCAGCATCAGTTAGGGAGCTTTGTGGCCAAGTGGGAATTTGAACCTGGGTCTGGCCTGGTCCTAGTCTAACCGCCACACTGTAATGACATCCTCTCCTTTTCCTCCAACTGATGCTGGCTCCTGTGTTTGTCCTAACGGACTAGGAAATACAAAGATAGCAAAGAGACCCAGCTTTACTTGATCAGCTAGGTTGGGGTGTGCAAGCTTTTGAGTTGCACAAAACTCTTCATCGGACATATTTTTTTCTTAGTGGGGACAAGCATTCCTAGATGAAATGCCTTTCCTTGGAAGTAAACGCAGGACATGTATACAATTGGTTTTTTCTCAGAGTTAAACATCTGGGACCATCCCCGTATACATATGGTTCAGGGTTGTATGGAGCAAGCCCTTCTTTTGAAACCCAGAATTCTGGGGTGAATTGAAAATGCCAAATGCAGCCTTTTTTCCTTTTCCTTTTCTGGAACTCTTGTCATTGTTTTTGCAATCAGTGACACTGGGGGTTTCCAGTTCAGCACTAGACTGGTTTTCAGTTTTGGTTTTGTTCCCTCCTGCCTTATAGAGAGCTCGGAAGCTTGTTCACTTTGCCAGCTCTTCCAGGCTTGGCCAGGTTTCAGTGGGGGCTGAAAAGTGTGTGTGTTGTGTGTGTGTGTGTGCGCAGCTCAAAATAAAGTTGGGGTTACTTCCTCTTGCCCTCTCCCTAACTGCATCCAAAAAGCAGGGTGGGCGGGGAAGGGAGCCATTCTAGCAACAGGAGAAAAACAACAACCCCACAACCCACAACTTTTGAGGTGTAGAAGGACGTTTGAAAGGCAAAAGCTCTGGCTGCTAAATGAAAGGGTTTGCTCAGCTGAGAGGCGAGATGCTTTTAGAGTTGGAAGACTAGGAGGCAGGCGGGAGTTGGGGTGGATAGTTTTCAGCCAGCAGGGGAAGGAATCGAAGAAAGTGATAGGGAGCAGGGAGCCGAGAGGGCTGAGGATCCGGGGTTGCTTGAAAAGATGGGGAAGTGGGGATGGGAGCCAGCCTTGACTTTAATTTTTGTGACTTTGCAATGAACTCGCTTCCTTCCCTTATCAGAGCCAGCAGGTCCATGCAGTGGGTAATTGCATTCCACTTTAATCAATAGCTGGAGTAAATCTACTTTCTAGGTCACTGAGGGAGGGGTGGGGGTGTATGTGTGTATCTACTCCCTGTTGCCCCCCTCCTCATTTCCCTACTTCTGTCATCATGCAAGCGGCTGTTTCTTACAAGGGGTGTGCGTGTTAAAAATAAGGTTGCCAGATGAAAATGCCCCCAAATTGGGTACCTGCACCAGCAGCGGCTGTGTAGAACTTCTCCTGTCCAAAACAGGATATGCTTTTTAAAAAAGATGTATTGCGTTGCGCACCTGCTTAGACATCACAGCCTTTGACCTGGATGCCCCTCCTTGGAACTCTAGTGTCAGGCGAAGGAACTCTGCATATGCTCAAATGCAGTCTTTTCCCTGTAGATGCCCGGCCTGGCAACCAGCTCTGGGTTTCTATCCTTCTTTTTGCGAAGCTGGATCCTCCCCCCCCCTTTTCCTAGGAAGAAGGGACTGTCTCTTAAATAAAAGCACTCTGGCAGCCTGGCTTGTCAGATGAACATTTCTGAAATAAAGGGCTCTCTGGAATAATGGAGTTTGAAGTAAAGGACGGCAATTATTTTCTATGAAGCTCTGATATTTAACGAGGGTGGGGGAGGAACAAAGCAACATCCTGAAAATCGTAGAGGTTTTATGAGGTTCTGGAGTGCTAGGCAGTAGCTCAAAACCAACGTTGCCCGTTCAAAATGTGGAATACTGTAGGGGTGTGGGGTTTTGAAACAAAGGGCCACCCATTCTCCTTCTGTGGAGCATCGAGGCTCTGGGAGGAACGGGAACCTCTGCTGTGCTCTGCAGTGTTGCAAAGTGAACTAAGGGACACTTCTCAGAATGGGGTGGGCGTCTGACAGCTCTGTATGATTAGCAGCCTTGTTCCTGGTGTGTGTGTGTGTGGGGGGGAGAGTCAGATTTCTCTCTCCCCATTTCCCACAGTTGATCACTAAGGTGCACACTAAAGCACCCATTCAGTATATGAGACACCCCCCCAAAAAAATCATGAATGCACAGTCCTAAAATTGCATCCAAGGGAAGCTATGCGCGGGCACTCTGGCAACTGGGCCCTTTTATGCAAATGTGCTTACAAAACACTTGCTCTGCTTTGATGCCAGAATTAATTGTCGGGAGGACTTTAAAGAAACATCATTTCTTAATGCACAAAATAGCTGCCGTGGTGCGACTGGGACTCTGGGTGGCTTCTGTTTTCCTGGGTTTTTTTAATAGTGTTCCAGTTTCTCCCTCCTCCCTCCTGCTTGCTCTCCATTGCTGTTTTGGGTGTTTAGCAAGGGTTGAATAGCGGGAGAG